GTACTATAAAATGAAACAAGAGACACACGTAGTAAATAAGAGAATTTATTTGGAAAGGAGGGTATAAAAAGCATGATTCTAACACTTATTTAGAATATTAACAAATTAGAAAAAGTTAGAAACTACAGAAAAGGTAGACACCCTGGAGTTAGCTTAAAGGTTGGCTATACAGTACAAACAAGGACCCAAGATTCTGTCATGCAATAAGCACTACAGGGGAAAAGCATGGGAATGTTCACAGAGCAGGCCACAACAAATATTTTAAACATTTACATTAAGAAACTGTACATAAATGGAAAAATAAATTAGATAATTTACAAGAAATGTTTTATAGGTTATAATAGGTTATAACTTAGTCTTAATATGCATAAAGTTTATAGCACATCATACATTTTTACATAAGATTTAATATTAGAAGGATCTAAACATAACAAAGCTTGGACCTAACAAGAATAATGCAACCAACAAAGTAAGGCAGCTTACACTGAAGTGACAAATAAACCCCAATTTAAAAAATGCCCAAAATGGGAGAGAAAATCCCTAGGAATGATTTCATCAGAACTAGGCAGAATTGAAAGAATGCCTTTCAACTTCAGTTAAAATGCCAGGAATTCACTTAGCTCAAACATAGTGGGTATGAGTGACCATGTATCTGAACCACATTCACTGCAGAAGACCAGTGATTTACATGTAGGATTAGGTCAATGACACCCAGCATGCAAAGCAAAACCAAATTTAGAAAACAATATAGTTTGTGAATGAAGCAAAGTTCTGAGAGCCAGCAGCAAGATTCCAGTATCAGCTCACACTGACTTTTAGAAGTAGGGACACTGCTGTCGGACACAGGTCTATCCCACCAAGCTCAGAAAAGACATTTTGGATCTTCTGCCTGCCTCATTAGGTAGGACTGTAACCCATCTCAACCTACTTGCAGGCAATTCCATTTTTCTTTTGTAGATATGGCTGGGAGGTTGTGTGCTGGACAAATGCAACAATTTAGAGGGGTAGTTTTTCTTTTACAAATGAATAGTAATTCCTACATAATTTTTAGGTTAGTAGTTAAAATCTAAGTACTTTACAGATGAATGTATGCACATACTTTCCAATAGCTATCATAGCTAGTGACTGAAGAATAGTATTTTTCTAGTTTTAAAAGAACTTATAAATCATACTAATAAAAGCCAGAACTGTTAAACTGAAAATGTATAAGTCATCCTAAGCACTGTCAGGAATGAGGCAGTTGTTCTCAGGCTCCTGACAACTATGTCATTTTCCATGGTAGCCACCGAATTCCCAGTTCACAAATAAAGAAGCTGGACCAATGACCAGCACACCATAAAACACTATCAAATCTGAACTCCACATGTACTGAATACACAAGACAGCAGAGTGCAACCAATAGGGAGTGCTTTCCAAAACATCTTAACCTTTTTAAAGTAGAAATAAGACAGCAGAGAACCTGGAACAATCTCTTTCCACGCTGCTGTTTCGAACCAGCTATCAAAATCTTCAAGGAAAAAAAGAGCTCCTCTTATTACTGACCCTGTGAGACTCATCAGAAAGACAATTTTTGTTATATAAACTGCAGACAAAAAGTAATTTTGCAAGATTATGCGATGCAGGGCACTTGGGAGGCAGAGACATGAGGAGGCTCTCTTGTGAGTTTTAGGTCAGACTCATCTACATAGCAAATTCCAGCACAGGACTACATAGAGACCCTGTCTCAAAAAACAAAAACCAAACCAAACTGAAAATTATCTGATGACTCAAATGAAGCTAGCCTATCACTGTCAGAAGAAACCACACTCAGTGAACAAGAGCTTGGCTGGGAAAAGGTAACATCAACATTTTGAAGCAATCACCTTAAAATCAGAGTATTTTCTAAAAAAAATGTATTTTGACTATTTTGTTTACATATAGCACAAAACTGAAGTTAAATGCAAAGTAATGAACATTCATTTTCATTATGCTTTATCATTTTTTACATAACTTAGAATTTCTGAATTATATTCGCAAGTTCAACACATTAACAAAGATAAAGTGCTCAACAAAAGAAAAGATACTAATAATCTAAATATGAAAGAACTTTGTTTCTAACAAAGTGGTTTTACAAGGGACACTTAAACTATGGCCAGGCCAAGCTTTCCATCCAAGAATGTAACCCCCAAACAGCATTCTTTTAGAAATGGGTTCCTCAAACACAGAAATTACATGCATTCTCATAGGCAAACATCAACTTAAGATTTTCTGAAGAGTCCAGGTTTTGCAAATAATGAGAACCTCTTGAGAGGCTGCCTTTCAATTATCATGCACACTACTGGCCTTGGCAATGACTTTATCCAAAGGAGGGATCCACTACTTCCCCACCTACTAAAAGTAGCTGAGAAAGGAAATGCCATGCTAACCTGTGTGACCTGTGTACTAGAAGCTTGGAGTCAGCTAGTTAAAAGGCAACGTTTAGGGGGAATGGTGGTGTTTTAGATCTGTGTGTGTTTTACCACCAAAACCATGGCTAACAATGCTCTTAGCATTTTTAAGTTATCAGAATTTTTATAAAGATTATATATAAAAGATAACATTGAGTTAAAAAGTGTTTATTGGTAATTCTTCAAATTTGACTGCACAAAACTCAGAAACTTTAGAAACTAAGTTTCTGGAAGTAATTTTATTTCCATGAAGGAAATTCATTAGTTTGGAGAATGCTAACTACTAGGATTATCACAGGCAGTTTTATCAGAATCAGATTATTAGAAAAATCCCATACACTACTACAAGAGATGACATGATGCAAACATACAATATTTTGCAATACTCGGTAATAGCTTGTCTGTGTAAAATAAACTGGTCGAAATAAATGATCTTATTTATATTTTTAAAAAGAAGTTCCCACCCACCCCTGTCACATTCTTTTAAAAGCACAAAGTTTTCATGGACACACAATATTAAGTAATTCTAGCACACCTTTAATCTTGGTATGCAGACAGGTGGATTTCTTTAAGTTCAAGGTTTGCCTGGTCTACCAGGCCAGTCAGGGCTACATAGTTGAGACTCTGTCTCAAAAACAAAAACAGAAGTAGTTCTACAAAAACACTAACACAGTGAGCACTATTTAAAATGAACATCAACTGAAGACTAAATAATTAAAAAGAAAAATAAACAAAAAAGGGCAAAATATCTCTCCTAATAAATTTTTGCACTGATTTCACATTGAATAATACACTAGATATATCAGTTAAAAAGAAAAAAAAAAACCTAAACATGTACTAAAATTGACTTTCACCTATTTCTTAGTTTTTAATGTGTTTACTAAAAATATAAAATTATACATGGTTTATATTTTATTTCTATTAAATGGCACTGTTTAAGAACATAGACCTTAGGCAGGTAGTGGTGATGTACAAATCTCAGTACCTGGGAGAGGACAGGTGGATCTGCGTTCAAGGCCAGGTTTAGACAGTGAGTTCCAGGACTGTTATACTAAGAACCCTGTCTTGAAAAACTAAAAAGGGGAGGGGGTGCGCACGCGCGCGCACACACACACACACACACACACACACACACACACACACACACACACACACGACAAAACCACTTCACAGACCTTCAATTAGGTTGATTGATATTAGAGGCAAATCTATTTATGACAGCATGCTTACAGGCATTTTCTCAAGAGCAATGTAAAACAGATTAGACTCTTGGCAGCTTTTATCAATCATGAGTCTGTGTTATCAGTTCATAATTATAGATTACACTTGGAAAAAGGTAAATAAATGGATGAGCTAGTTGATTGGTGTTACATGGATCTTAGTAGGTAATTTCAGTTCTAAATTGACAGAATGTTAAGTTCCACATTAATCAAGCTATAGTGATCAAGTGAACATGAACACCAATCTTTTCTTACAGACAGCCCTAAACCTATAGTTGCTAACGTATAAAATTTCCACAGGTAGAAAATCTGCAGTTTCTAACATTGTTATTTTCTTATCTGCACAAATACTTGAGTCAAAACCTTTAAAATAAGCGGTTGTATTCCTACTGGAATTGGCCACTGCTTTGCAAACACTGACAAAGACAACATCATAGACTTAAATGTCTACTGAGTGGGCTGATTTCAAAGTTCCATGAAGTCTAATGGGCAAATACTCTTCATATGCTTCCCTCCCCAGATACTACTTTTATATTCATATCTTTAGATAAAGAAAATAGAATTTTAAATACCTGCACATAAGATGTGAAAACCAAACACACAGACAACTGTCTTATCAAGCACCTCTTGTCAGTCTGGTGGGTACTTTTCACTACTAAACACTGGGGTCTCAGAAACTACACTGAAATACTTTGTAAAGTGTAAACAATCTCTAACCTCTTTAAGGTTATTTCCAGAAATATTGTTAATTAATACAGGTCCATTTCCCTTACAGACTCAACTTTATGGAACTAATGGCCTCCAAAATGTTACTGCATATGTAAAATTAAGAGATTTAACATTATAAAATCAGGAATCAAAACCAATAATAAATTCCAAAGTAGAACGATTTGGATCTGCAATGCTTTCATAACCAAAAACAAACAAACAAAAGTGTGCGCGCACACACACACACACACACACACACACACACACACACACACACACACACACACGAATATTGATCCACTTGTAACTCAGCAATAGTGCCTCAGAATCCCAGTTTCAAAATATCTTTTTAGATAACATCTGATTCTGTCCATTGCTACTATTTATATCAGGATAAAACCAGCTTTCATAGTTTAGACCTAATGAGAAGAAGTGTATGTTTGGGCCTGAGATATACATGGTAGAGAACAGAATGTCACCCACTCTAACCATATTCCATGTGAACAGTCCAAGGACTTAGGCATTCTCCAAAGCATCTGATTATGCCCCCAATTTTAAAACAGTAAACATCTTAACACATATACTGATTAATACATGAAATAAAGAAAATGTAACACCATCAAATGTGTGCAAAAAGTTTCAAGGATTCAAAAGAAAACTTCAGGTTCATATTTAAACATGGTATTTCAACTCATCAACTGAGAGAAGAGTGTATTTAAGGGGAGAGGTCATATAGACATGCTTTTTTGGGAAGGATATGTTATAAAACTACTACCATAGTTAATACTTAATATTGCCTTAACATTCCTAACGTCACAGAAAATGATCATCTTTGATTGCCAGTACAATAAAATTACCATACTGAGTATGTAACTTTCTGTTCACTAGTAACCAAACATACATAAAACAGACTCAAAACAAATTATTTAGTATTAATTATTTTGCATATAAGCAAACATTTCTGAGACTTGAAGATTTATGTTTGAGCATACAGTACTACAATGTTGGCTACATCAAATAAATAGAAAATCATTTCTTGAGAAAAGTTCAACAATCAAGAGGCTGTATTGCATTTAAGACTGAACGCTGGTTATATATACACACAAGGGGACAATCAATGAGGATTATTTCCCATTACAGAGGTCTTTCCAGGTGGCAAAGCTCATAAGCTCACTGTTCTGACATTTAAAATCGACACAAATAGCATTACTCTTTTATCCTTTGGTTCCCAGTGACAAATAATGAATGCAGTCTCTGGATCAGTTCCTCCTAGATGACATTTCTTAGTAAAGATCTCCAATCTTTTAGCTGAAATTTGGCAGTCCAAGAAGTGCACCAACAGCTCCAAAGTATCCCTGCATGATTTAAACAGTTTAAGACAATGTAGTTTTTAAATTAATTTGTTAAGAACACATTTATATAGCCTTCTTCAATACATGAAAGGGTACATTCCACAAAAAAAAAAAAACAAACAAATAAACAAACTGGACTCAGGAAAGAAGCACCCAGTACAATCAAACCCAGCAAACCCTCTAAATTAATATAGAAGGAAAGGAGACCAGTTAGCCAGCAAAACAGCACTGTCATTTCTAAAAGAGCAACATCTCCTCTCCTTGTTAACCTTAAATGTAAGGAAATGGCCTCAATTCACCACTAAAAAGGTAAATCAACCAAATAGCTGGTTCTTTGGAAAAGTAAAATTGACTTAACCTGATAAAATACATAAATTAATAAAATTAGAGGTCTACAGACTCCAATAAAAAATGTTTAGGTTGCTTTCTATACACTCTTGAAATAAGCATAATTATCTACCTAGCTACCTACCTACCTATCCATCTATCTAGGTTTTTTCAAGGCAGGGTTTCTCTGTTTAACAGCCCTCACTGTCCTGGAACTACCTCTGTAGACCAGGTTGGGCTCAAACTCAGAGATCTGTCTGCCTCTGCAGTGATGCCACCACTGCCCAGCTTTGAAATAAGTATCTTTAAACTATGGCTTTTAGACACTAACATTTACACAACTAATATAGCAAGCCTACTTCTTTTCCTTCACTTTAGTCAATAAACAAAGATTCCTTGGAGCTTTGTAGTGTGTGCTTTGTAGAAGGGCCAGAGAACATACCATTGCAATCTGTACAGAGTTTCCAACAATGAGATATGGAAACTTATGTGGCAATACTTTGAATTTTATTAATTCAAAATAATGTAAACATTTGATTTCATTATATGAAACTGGTTAACTGCACATATTGAAATTTAACTGGGAGGTGAGCTGTTTGGTTTTTTATTTGTTTGTCTGAACTAATACAAAGCACGTTGGCTTCAACCTGGGCTAACATCTTGCTTCTTCTTCCTGAATGTTGGGATTATAGGAGTGTACCACCAAGCTGAACTAGGAAAACAATAGTTACTTCTCATGGTCATGTGTGTTACAATGCATGGAAGAAATTAAAAAAAGAACCCTCTTCATTAGAACACATAGCCTGGGAAAATAGCTAAATCCATAAATACAAGGAACTGAGTTTGCTTCCCCAAACCAACATAAATAAAAAAGCCACGTGTTGTGGTATATCTTTTATAAGCCCAGATGTGAGGAGGCAGCTCTTTGGGGTTTGTTGTCAAACCAATACAGCCTCATCATTCCAGTGAGAGACTGTGTCTCAAAAGAGGTAGATGGTGTCCTTGATAATGACACCTGAAGTTTCCTCTGATCTCCACATGTGCATACATATTTACAGTTTTACATATGTGTGCGCACGTGCGTGTGTGTGTGTGTGTGTGTGTGTGTGTGTATAGGATATATAGAAATGTAGACATTTTTAATTCAAAACATGCTATTTAACCTACAAAAAATTGTTCTCGTACCTCATGTTCTAGAAACAATGCTTTCAATTGACCTTTTGACCAGTAATCCAAAGCATATGCCAGAAGTTTCATAGAGAGAGTATTAACACGTAGAAAGTTTCCAACGAAGACAACTCTGTTTATTTTCTGAAAGAAAAGAAGAATGTGACTTTTAGGGCATTAAAATATTTATGTAAAAATGTTAATGTCATTCATTAGTACCTACTAATTTCTGGCACACAGTCCTACATTTCTGATTATTCATAAATTAGATAACTAATGAATGAACTCTGTCAAATATGACTTCTGGATTTTAGTGCCGGATTATCATGTCCTACATGTTCTTGGACAACAACCAAATATACCAAGATCCAGAGTATGCTGAATCAGGGAGGCTGTGCTCATGTGTGGAAGGTGTGGCAACAGCCTAATTACCTATGTCAGTTTAACTGCAAACCTAACATTGATCTAAAAAGTAGTATCTAGTTATGTTGTATCCATGTACCATGCAATGTAACCTAGTCCCTCCAGAGAGTTGGACAGTAGCAATGATTGGGAAGGGGATCATGAAAGGTAGGTAACATGAAAGGTGAGCAAGAGGAAAATGTGAGGATAGAGGAACAGGAGGCATAAACCAACCAAAACATAGTTTGGGAGCTGGAGAGATGGCTCAGTGGTTAGGAGCACAAGCTGATCTTCCAGAGGACCACGGCTGCTCCCAGAACCACCTTAGCTTTTCACAACCATGTATAACTCTAGTTCCAAGAAACTCAATACTCTCTTCTGTTCTCCTGTGCATGTAAACAGTGCACAGACACATATACAGGAAAAATATCCACACCCTTAAAATTAAAAAAAGTTTAGGATGGAGAGCTGGCTGAAGTTAAGAGTATTTGCTACTAAAGCAAGCCCCAATGACCCTCCTTTCTTCCCATCCATTACCTGCTGGGGTTGTAGGCCCAAAGCCTTATCCGGCTTCTTACATAGGTGTTAGGGACTCAAATCCAGGTCCTCTGCAAAGTCATTGAGCTATCTCCCCAACCCTCCATTTTTCTGAAGGCAAGCCAACACACATCACCTCAGATCACATATGAAGAACAAGTCTTAATGCCTTCATAGCCCTGTACAATGCTGCTTGATCCATATGCAACAAGGCAGCACTGTAAAGAAGCCGAGGGCAGTAAGAAAATTTCCAAGTATCTAATGAACACTCCATAATTATAAACAAAGAATCCACAATGCTTTTCTCAACAGTTATCTCAAAATGTTATACTTATATTCCATTCCCATTTACATTTAGACTGTGTATTCATTTCTGAAGACATTTTTTGAGAATAAGTACTTATTTGTCCTAGTCTGGCCCAAGTTAGTTTCTTTTTGTTTTGCAGTGCTGGGGACTGAACACCAAGGGCCGTTCACTATTTGTCATATTATTTCCTTCTTTGTATTGGCTATTTTGAAGCAGAAGCTGACCATGTAGCCTTGGCTGCCCTTCAAATCAAACAGATCTGCCTGTCCCTGCCTCCTAAGTGCTGTATTTGTCATTAAAAAGAAAAAAACAAAACTAGATACTTTATCCATCTGAGAGTGTAAAGAAATGGGTCTCAATCTGAGGGGCCTCATTGGAAAATAAAGGGTTCTATCACATGCAAAAAAAAAAAAAAAAAAAAAAAAAATCAGTTTTCTTTTTCTATTCCAGAACAAAACAAAATGAAAGGGTCTCTAGAACCTCAATGGCCTGGAATTAGCTATGTAGATTAGCCTCAAACTCACAAAGTCCCCCACTCCTGAGTGCTGGAATTAAAGGCATACACACACCATTGTGTCCAAATGTTTTTTATAAAAAGTTCTTCAATGTCTTCTTACCTCGTTAACAGCACACATCCGGGCCACGGAACCAATGTTATTGGTGATAGTAACTAAAGTAGCTCTCGCCAAATCCTCTTTACTAACAGTTTCTCGCTTCTCCTTATAAATCATATTCCCAAAACTGCAAAAACAAAACAAAACAAAAATCATCATCAACAACAACAAAAAAAACCAAAAAAGAGAAACAAGTCAAATCTATTAGTAATAATTAATAATTCACATATTAACTTACATATTTACAATAGCTCTACACAGTTAGGGCCAAGAGCACATTAAGGATCAGCTCAAAACAAGTCATAAGCAATAAGCTTTTAAAAAGAATTAAAAGTTTAAAAAAAAAAGTAGTAGAATTGTTACTAGGAAGCAAAGATTTCCATTATATCCACATATTAAGTCCAGATAATTATGATTACTTTAGGAAGCCAAGAAAAGAAAAATACAGCAACTTTATTTTAAAAGTCAAGATATTGTTAAAGATGACTTCAGCTCTAATGTCAAATCCTTTCAGTAACACAGCATTTATGACACACCAAGCATTGTGATACAGACACAAGGTACCTCAAGCAGTATATTGGCTAGGGCAGCACTGCTCAATAGAAATATGTGCCACATTAATACATTATCTATTTGCCATATTTGAAAAGGTAAAAATAAAGGTGAAATTAGGTAGAATTGTCCATCTTACTAAAAAGCCAACATATCTAAATGAAGCCATTTGACCATGGCATACATCAACTACATTCCAAGTGCTTGCTATACACATCTGGTTAAGGGTATCCTATGGACAATGAGGACCACACAGAGGAGAGCCACAGAGACACTAAGTATAACAAGATGACAGACAAACCAAATCACAGGGAGCAAGAAAGAATAAAGATTGCACTTATTTTGTTGTAAGAAAAAGTTGAGAATGTTTTCCACAGTAAAAAGAAATTTAACTGTGTAAAAAGAGAAGGAACATTCTAGACAGAAGCAATCAAGGTTAATGTCACATGAAAACAACAAAACATGAAATCACAAGTGACATAAGTGGTGGAGAGTGATGGACCTCTGTGAGAGTGCAGAGATGTGCTAAGGAGGCAAATTCCACTACTTCTAGAGGGCACTGACAAGCAACAGCTAACCACACTGGATAGGAAATCACATATAAACAAAAATATTTAGCAACACAGAGAGGGGTTCATGAAGTTAAAAGGTGATGGGGCAGGAGAATGACACATTTTCTTCAGTTACAGTCACTGCTAGGTTGCTAATGTATCGAAGATAAGTAACACTAACTAAACTCATTAGGTCATGAAAAGAAACCCTGAAAGTAGAAAGGGACTAACTGACTACCTACTTGGATGACGATCAACATGAGTGGAAGGAAGACAGGAGAGAATGATAGGGAAGAATATAATAAATAAATATTAGCCAGGTGGTGGTGGAGCATGCCTTCCTTTAACAGCCAAGTTCTAGGAATACAGAGAAACCGTCTTGAAAAAAATGGAAATGCTGTAAAAAACCCATTATGTATAAAATAATACATGCTAACTTACAAATTGTTCAGAAAATTTTAAGTTAATACAGATGACTTTTTAAATGTCTGAAAGGCACAAAAGTGGCTTTAACAGCTGTTTTGTTATAGAAAGATATAACATCATAAAGATAGTATTTTTCAAACATTATTTGTTCTCTCCCTCTGTGTGCATACACACTCAGAAGTCAGAAGCCACTTTGCAGGAGTTGTTTCTCTTCTTTTACTACTATGTAGGTTCTGGGGATCAATCCGATGTGGAGAGGCATAGTAGCAGGAATCATTACCCACTGAGCCATCTTATTGACCCAAGGATGTCATTTCAGTAAGTTAAAGAAACTTAATGAAATCACAAACGGAGCAAGCATACTTTCATGCTTCCATAACTTTGAGAGTGTATTATTGAGGGTATATCCAGAGTAAAAAACAACAACAACAAAAAAAAACTAGTGCATGAGAATTCATCTCTAATCAGTGGAAAAAATTATAGATGTTAGGTACTTACAAACACACAAACACACACACACACACAAACTGGAAAAACTAAAACTGGATCTATCTCTCACACAAAACTGTAAGAATCATTACAAATCATGTAATCATGTTTGTTTATATTATGAGCAAAGACTGAAGTATAAAAGTAATACATTAAAATATCAGAAAAAGAAAATATAGGTTAATTCCTTTATATATTTGCAATGTGGAAGATGACTTACTATGATTCAATATCCAGAAGCCATAAAAGACTGATCATCAAAATCACTAACAGTACCACACATGGTTCTTAGCTTCATTGTTAATAAAAGAAATGCGAAGTAAAATCACACTAAAATGTTGCTTCCCTACTAAACTAGCAAAAACTCAAATGTTTTTCCAGTATACTAGTTCCACTGGAGGGAAATACTATTTTACCTGGTGGATTAGGTGAAAATCATCTTTGGGAAGGTATGCTAGACAAAACTATAAAAATAAAAAACATTTGCACTTTACCTTTGGGGATGTAAGCTACAGACAGGATGACAGGACCATGAACATGGAAAGATTTCTAGGGTGTGTGGCTATTTTATTAGAGCATGTATACTATGTGATATGATTTGTATTTTCAAATAGCAAAAGGAGATGGATGTTTCCTTTTTTTTTTTAAGCTTTGAGAATTTGCTTGCCATGCTAATCTTCTCTATCAATTAACATTCCAATTTTAGTATATGTGATGCCGAAGCAAGCACCTGTTTTTGTTTTTTGTTTGTTTGTTTCTCGAAACAGGGTTTCTTTGTATAACAGTCCTGGCTATCCTGAAACTTGCTTTGTAGACCAGGCTATCCTCAAACTCACTGAGATCTGCCTGTCTCTGCCTCCCAAGTGCTGGGATTAAAGGCATGAGCCACCACAGCCTGGCCTGGTTTTGGTTTTTTGACAGTGCTTCATGGTGTGGCCTAGAATGGCCTGGAACTCTTTTTGTAGAACTGGTTGGCCTGGAACTCAGAGCTCTACCTGCCTCTATCTCCTAAATGATGGGATTAAAGGCATGTGCTCCCATGGCCAGCTGAGAAGTTTCCTTTTGTTCTGCAGTGCAGGGATTCAAACCCTGGCCTTAGGCACACTAGGCAAATGCTCCTCCACTGAACAATATTACCAGCACAAGGAGTTTTTTTACAGGGTGCAGAGAGAGTAAACTTTGTAATGAATTTACTTATTTGTTTGTTTTCAAGACAGGGTTTCTCTGTGTAGCACTGACTGTCCTGGAACTTATTCTGTACATCAGGTGTACACCACCACCTGGCTTGAGGTTTTTTTTTTTTTTTTTTTTTTTTTTTTTTTTTTTACGGTTTCTCTATAGCTTTGGAGGCTGTCTTAGAACTCACTCAGTAGACCAGGCTGGACTCGAAACTCTGAGATTCATCTGCCTCTGCCTCCCAAGTGCTGGGATTAAAGGTGTGCACCACCATAGCCCAGCAGAGTATTTTATTTTTAAACTACTTCAATGTACAAAACTTGGACTCTAAACCAAGAAAAGGAAATCACCCTTAAATCGCCCATGACACTATTTTCTAAAAACTAAATAGACAACTTGAATAACTTACCTAGATGCCACAGCCCAACCTGGCAGACCAAATCTTTCATAATCTCCTCCATAAATATCACGGACCAGCCTATCAGCTTGGGTGCTGTCACCTTTGGATGCCATTTCAAGAGCCTCTTCAAAACTTTCACAGCCAGTCAATAAGCTGCATAAACCAAGAAAGGTACCACCTCCAAGGCTAAATAAAGTAAAAAAGACAATATTCTTTTATTGAAAAAACATAGAGGGAAGACACAGTTAAATATCAACATGATAAAGGACAAGAGAAGCTACTTAGTTGAAATCAAACCTGTTATCTCAAAAGCTAAGTTGGCTGGGGAGAAAAATCCCACCTTGAATCTAATAGTTTATAGTTTGTAATTGCTAAAAATACACTACTGTGTGTGTATTAAAAGAAATACTAATAGGTTGGTGAGATAATGCATGCTACCATTGTCAGCACTAGAGAAACTGAGACAACACCTTGAGTTCTGGGCCAGCCTGTCCAACAGACTCAAAATAGGTATCAGTGTCCTAAAAATACCACACAAGGAAGATGAAATCTGTGCTTTTAAATTCCCAAGAAATGACTTGTGAAAGCTTTAGTTGCCCAATTAGGGTAAAATCAATTCAGTTATGACATGTGAACATCAATATGAACCAGACAAATACTTAGAGGAAGTGTATATCTGGCTCATCACATTAATGACAAATTTATTTAGTACTATTCCCATATCATTTTGGATTATGTCCATGAAATGTTACTGTGCAGGGCTCTAGTCTTTACATGCAAAATCTTTGCTTGTTAGACTCACCTACATTTCTATTTTTTGTAATCAAAAGAAATGTTTTGTGTAATTACTGGTTAAGAACAGTACAAAAGTGAGTTTTTAGAGTATTAATCACTGTTAGAGTACTAATGCATTTAAATATTTTAACAGGAGTATTGCTTAAAATTAACCTTCCCCATAAACCCATCTAAATTATTTAAAAACCTTTGCTCCCATAGTTGAACAGGCATTGCCACCTATTGATGAATTATGTATTAAGTCTTATAAAACCATTCACTTCATATTTCAGGTTATTAAAAAGTTATGGTCTACTTGAGAACATTAATTTATTCTATAAGGAGTTCACATGAAATTCATCCTAAAAATTAACTGCAGGGCTAGAGAGGAGGCTAAAAGGTTAACTGCTCTTGCAGAGGACCTGAATTCAATTATCAGCATCCCCACATCAGGGAGCTTTTTTGTTGTTTTTCTAGACAGAGTTTCTCTGTGGCTTTGGAGGCTGTCCTGGAACTACCTCTTGTAGACTAGCCTAGTCTCAAACTCAGAGATCCGCCTGCCTCTGCCTCTGCCTCTGGAGTACTGGGATTAAAGGTGTGCACCACTAAAACCTGGTCCCATCAGGCAGCTGAAAACTATCTGTACTCCAGTTCCAGGGATCTGACATCTTTTGGCCTGCATGTATTTGATGCACATAAATTCACATACACACATAAATAAATGAAAATAATTTACTACTCCACTGTCTAATATTGTATTTTAAATGCAAATTTATACAGTACATGGATAGCTTTATGTTTAAATAAAAAAAAACGGGGAAAAATCTGCTGCAGAAATTAAATAAAATATGAACAGATACCATAGTTCTGAAGTCAGCATAATGCTGACTGCCACTACCAGCAACTCTGTTAAACTCAGGAAAAAACAATGGAATTAATTCTATATAAAAATTAACTGGTCATTATGGAAATTCTGATGCTAATTGATATTGATCATTAGAAAATACTTAGGGACTTTAGTTTAAGTCATTACAAAAAAGATTTGCAACATTTAATCACACATCTATATTCTTTTTAAAGACATTATTTTTATGTGTGTGTGTGTGTGTTTTGCTAGCATGTATGTTCTGCACCATGTGTGGCTAGTGCCAGCAAAGACTATAACCTCTGGAACTGGAATTAAGGATGGTTGTGACCTGCTATGTGGGTGTTGAAACTGAACCTGGGTCTTCTGTTGGGACAGCAAGAGCTCCTAACTGATGAACTATCTCTCCAGCACCCTATATATTTTGCTATTGCACAAATATATTATTAGTTTTCTGGCAAATCTAGGGAACTAGCAATATACAGCTGGGGGTCCAATTCAGTGTGGTATACTTGTCTAGCAAGTATGAGGGTCTGCCCAAGCTTCTCTAACACCAAAAATAGACAGATAAATAAAACAAAATACACCCTAGAACATGCATAAAACATGATGAATAATGTAATCAAACCAAAAGGATTAGTACCTTGTTCCAGTCACTCTTTTATAGTTGTCTTTGGAATGGACTGCTAAAATACTGACTCCTGAGCCAATATTCACTACCAGCAGTGGATAAGGATCATCCAGGTTAAAAGGCATCTTTTGGCATCTCTCAGGGTCTGAGGCATTAGCAAAATAATAGCATTCTGCTTGTCCATTGAAACTGACAGAATCTATATACAGCAAGCCCTTTACAAGGCAGTCAAGTTCATCCAGTTTGTGCAGGTGGAGGTTTCCAATCTGGAAGAAAAAAGCAAAAATAACAATTTTAGAAAGGTCAAACAAGTCAAAATCTAGTCATGCACATATGCCTCAGGGAAAATGAACTACACACTATATCCGCAGTTCTCAACCCATGGATCCGAATCCTGTGAGGGACGGATGGATCCTTTTACAGGAGTTGCATCAGATATACTACCTATCAGATATTTATATTATGATTCTTCTTAATAGTAGCAAAGAAATAAATTTTACGGTTGGAGGGAGGGTTCACCATAATATGAGGAACTATATCAAAGGGTTGCAGCATTAGGAAGGTTGGAAACCACTGTCTTAGAAGCCTAGCTTTGTATTAAGAACTGAATTTTCTCAATAATTTTTGGCTTTCAAGTTAAGAGACACCTACTGTGCGAAAATCTTTCTCAAACTTGTAAGCACCACCTCCTGTAGCACTCAGCACCGTTTGTAAGGTTGAGAAGTTTTTATCTCTTCCCATTTGGATAAAAGTAGGCAGGTCCTGGGTTGGAAATCTGATAAAGTGCAAGTTCCCTCTTCGTCCAAAAAGTGTTAAGTCCTTCAGTTCGAGGTGTACATCCCGAATGCCAGTAGATCCATATGCTACATTAGAAGTCAAATATTTCCGAATGCTTTTTAAGCTCTCAACTTCCTCTTGTTCTTCCTCTGCTGTGATATCAATAGGTTCAAAATATGAGAGCTTTACTAGAGTTCCCCCAATGTCCATGCCAAACCACGGGAAAGCTGTGAATTAAAAAAAAATGTGTGAAAACAAACCAGAATGAATGGTTAATTAGTCACAAACTTCATTTTCTGAGTCATGCACTTAGTTAAAGCTTAGTGGCCAAGACCTACCATCTATATGTAACTAACCTTTCCCTTCAGTTGTATTTGTACACTTTCTCCCCTTGTTTTTTTTTTTTTGGTTTGTTTTGAGACAGGGTTTCTGTATAGCCCTGCCCTACAATCATGTCAGGTAACCTTAAACTGAAATTTTGGGGGACTAGAGAGATGACTCAGTGATTAAAAGCACTTGTTATCTTTCCAGAGGATCTGAGTTCCCCCCATACCATGCAGCTTATGATCGCCTGTTAACACCAGTTCCATGGGATCCAACACTCTGACTTTCACAAACACACACAGATACAAATTTGTGCATGCATAGATACGCAAATATAAATAAATTTAAAAATGAAATCTTTCTTTGCTCAATCAGCATGTTCAGTTTCTTTGGCACATAGGATTAGCCATCCTTACCTGCCTATATAAGGACAAATGCATTTGGGCTAGGAGTAATATTCAGGTTTAGGACTTCAGCTAACTGGGCTATGTGGCTCTGGGGGAAAAAAATTCAATGCTTCTTTGAATGTGGAGAATGCTAAAAAACAAAAATTAATCTACCCAAAGGCAGAGCCCTAATACAGTTAGGGAACTATGAGAAAGACTTAAGCTGAGAAAATACAGAGTCGAGCACAAAAGACCTTGCATGCTAGGGAAGAAAACTTGAATCTATAGATAATTTCAGGCACCATTTATTTTCTCCACAAGAACATATACAGTTTGGCTGAACATCAGAAAGCTTTCTAAAATAGGAACATACAGGACAGGCAGATAAAGTTTAAGAGGCATGTAAAAGCAGGATGATGGGAGGCAGAAGCAGGTGGATCTGAGTTCAAGGCTAGCCTGGTCTAAAGAACAAGTTCTAGGACAGCCTACACAAAGAAACCATATCTCAAAATACAAAACACAAAACAAAAAGAGGCACTTAAAAAACTAAAGATGCCTGGCAAGTAAGTCAAAAATCAAAACCATCTAGGTATTATTTGAAAATTACAATTTTTTGGGCCTCACTTCTAGGTGCTGGGCTGAGATGGCTCAGCAATCAGGAATGTTTGCTAGTTTTCTAGTTAAATTCTCAACACCCATTCCAGGTGGTTCACAAGTGCCAATAACTCCAGCTCCAGGGAATCTGACACCTGCTTCTGGCCTGTGGGCTCCATTTATGTATATGGTACATATAGGCTCCCATATGCAGCTCAGTTGGCAGAGGCAAAAGGGTAAGAGGTTCATCATTCTTGATGACACACCAGTTCAAAGCCAGCCTGGGTTACCTGACACCAGAATCAGAGAGCTAGGCAGTCAGTCTCTGCATAATTATCATTACTTTCTTCTATAGAAATAGTTCATGGCCAGGCATGGTGGTGTACACCTTTAATCCTAGCACTTCAAAGGGCAGCCTGGACTATACAAGGAGTTCTAGTTAGCTGGGGCTACCTATAGAGACCCTGTCTCAGGAAAGGGGGAAGAAAAAGAAACAATCAGAAAACTGAACTTAGTATTGGAAAAAATAGTTAACAAGAAGACCACTTCAGTGAATGACACTTGAGACACCTCTAGGTAAAAAAGAATGTGTTTATAACTAAGAGCTGCTTTTCAGTTCACAAAATCTAGAATTTCTTCTTTGAGAAATTCATTAATGGTCTGTCTACACAGCCTTGGTGGTGGTGGGGTTACAGGTCATTTTCCTGCCCTATCCCCACTAATGCTTCCAAAGCAATATACCAACAGGAGTCATTTATTACCAAGTGTTTGAACAAATTCTTTTGCATTTCATGGTTTTTAAAAGTTGTTTTTTGGCCTATTTTGGAGGTTGGATCTCATTCTATAGCTCAGATTGGCCTGGAACTCAATATTTTAGCCCCAATTGGCTTTTAATGTGCAGCAGTCTTGATTCAATAGAGCGTTGGAATTATAGGTGTGAGCCACAAGACCTAGCTATACTAGGGAGCAAAACAAACAAACAAAAAGCACAAAAACAAATGCAAATAAAAGAAAAAAGATCATCTGATATATTTTTGCCAGGCATTGGTGGTAAAGCCTTTAATCCCAGCACTCAGGAAACAGAAGCTTCTGAGTTTGAGGCCAGCCAGGTCTACAAAGCAGTTCCAGGACAGACTCCAAAACAATAGAGAAACCCTGTTTCAAAAAACCAAATAACAAAACAACAACGACGGGAACGGGTTCTCTCCTGGTGATGGTGGTGCACACCTTTAATCCCAGCATTCAGGAGGCAGAGGCAGGAGGATCTCTGAGTTTGAGGCCTGCCTGGTCTACAAGAGCTAGTTTCAGGACAGCCTCCAAAGCCACAGAGAAACCCTGTCTCAAAAGCAAAAACAAAACAAGAAAAAGTTCTCCCACTTGAACAATGCTTGACTCTAGATTTCATGGTTTGGAAGAACAGAAATCATTTTACCCAAATTCAAAATCCACTAAAGCCAGTATCTGCACATTTTCTCCCACCCACTTTTGTTTTGGTTATTCAAACAAACCCAGGGCCTTGGTGCATATTAGGCACTGTATGTCTGAACTACATTCTCAGCCCTTTTCAGGTTCATGTCAAACATATAGGTGTCAAAATATACATACAAATGTTACAGAGTACAAACTGGAAGTTCAAAGTTAATTCATTTTCCAGTCAGAATCCTCTGTTCACAGACTTACAAATATCAGAATATTGACACTCCTAAAAGCAAACTTTAAATTAGCATTTAACACTTCTTATTTTTAAAACCATTCTGTAGAAGCTTCATGTCTAAGCAATTATATTTCAAATGGATTCATGTATTCTGGAGAATAAGAAATCATCAACTTTTCTAAAGCTGTGACCAGTACTAAAGTTTTTGTTTGCGTTTTAATTCTAAGTTATGAATAGCCAACTCCAAAATGCATATTCTGTCTACTTTGTAATGTGAGCTATGAAGTGGTAAAGACAGATATTGGAGGTAACCAAAAATCTTTTTGTAGCAGAATAGCTTACCATCAACCCTGAAGTGCAAGAAAAAAATTAGTTACACCTACCATTAAAATAATAAAAAAAAACAGAGCTTTTGAGAGCTCAGAGGGCATGCACAGCTCTTGGGAGTTTGGTTCCCAGCTGCTTAGAATAATCATTAACTCCAGCTCCAGGGGATCAAATAACTGCTTCTGACTTCTGTCACCACTTCTAAGAATAAGTTCTCCCTCCACCATGTAGGTCCCAAAGGCTAAATGTTAGGGGATGTTCTTCTGTATGTTTCTCTTATTGACAGATGAATAAAACAGTTTGACCAATAGAGGCAGGAAGATAGGTAGGACTAAGAGATGAGGTTGGATACATAGGCAGAGAAAGACTTCGAGGAGATACCTTGTAGCAGAGGAAGGAGTAACAGGTCCAGACCCTTCTCCGGTAAGATAAGACCACGTGGAAATACTTAAGATTTAGTAGAAATGTGTTAATAATTAAATCAGAGCTAGCCAATAAGAAGCCCTAGCTGAGCCAAGCAGCGGTGGCACACGCCTTTAATCCCAGAACTTGGGAGGCAGAGGCAGGCAGATCTCTGTGAGTTTAAGTCTACCCTGGTCTACAGAGCAAGAAGCCCTAGTCACTGGCTAACAGTTTTAAAATTAATGAATGCCTGTGTGCTTATTTGGGGCTGATGGGTGTCAGGACAAGAAAACTCCACTAACAACTAAACTGTCTTTGCCAGCCCAATATCCAACTTTTGCAGCAATCTTTTCAACTCAGTGTTCTGGAATTCATTTCCTTAAACCAAGAAATAACTGCTATTCAGCATTAATGGGTCCCAGCACTTTAGTCCCAGCACTACGGAGGCAGAAGCCAGCCTGGTCTACAGAGCTAATTCCAGGACAGGATCCAAAGCAATACACAAACTGTCTCAAGAAACAAGATGGATGGATGGATGGATGGATGAAATGACTGCTAATCAGGGGCTGGAGAAATGACCCAACTGTTAAAAGCGGGTATTGCTTTTTCAAAGGCCTGGAGCTTAATCTTAGCACCCACTTCAGATGGCTGAGAGCTGCCTTAACCTCAGCCCAAGAGTTGATCTGACACCTCTGGTCCCACAGATGCCAGCACTCGAATACACAAACCCACACACATACACATAATTAAATCACATTCAAAAGGCATGAAGGAGGCAATAAGAACACAAAAAACAAACTTTCTTCAACTATGAGCCACTCTTGTATCATTTAACAAATGATCTAATCACCAACTTTTGAATTTCCTAGTACATTAAAATGGGTAACATATACATTTATAAATTCCAGGTGTATATGGAGTTCATGAATAAAAGAATTTCACTTGGGGCTGGAGAGATGGCTCAGTGATTAAGAGCACTAGCTAAACTGCTCTTCCAGAGGACATGGGTTGAATCCTCAGCACCTACATGGCAGCTCAAAACTTGTCTGTTACTCCAGTTCTAGGGGAATCAGCACCCTCATGGTAGACAAAACAGCAATATGCATATAAAATAAAAATAAATAAGGCATTTCACACTTCTCATTGATCTTTACAAATAAAGACTTGGGTTCTCTGAAACAGACCAAGAAAATAGCCATCTTATTACCTTCACTATTAAGAGAACCTGGGAAAGAATTGAGTATTTTTGTTTTCTTTAATAAATTCCTCATTTCTAATGGGAGTTACATTAGCTACAATAGTTACATTAGGTAACTATTACCTACTAATGTACTTTACTATCTACTGGAAGTGACAATTCTTAATATTAATAAATTTACAAATAAAACTATATAGAAGCACATGATACATAAATGCTGCTCAGCAAAAATTTCAACTTGGTTGGCACTGACTCAAAACCTGTATCACATTAAATATATTTATCACCTTTAACCAACCTTATTAATCCAGTTACAGGAGAACCTAAAGTTTAAGAAATCAGGCCAGCCTGTGGTGCTGGCACACACCTTTAAACCAAGCACTTTGGGAGGCAAAGGCAGGCAGATTTAAAGTTCCAGGCCAGTCGGAGAAACCCTGACTCAGAAAAATAGAAAACACCAGGATTTTAAAAAAAGAGAAAGGGAGAGGCCAAGTTCCCCAAGGGTGAGAATAGCCTAATTCATTTACTTTTCTTCTTTCCTGGAGATGAATTAACACATATTTCAACTGTGATGACAAAATCGATCCCCCCCTAGACAGGGTTTCTTTTTGTGTAACCCTGGCTGTCTTAGAACTAGCTCTGTAGACCAGGCTGGCCTCAAACTCAGAGATCCACTTGCCTCTGCCTCCCTAGTGCTGGGATTAATAAAGACATGCATCACCATTGCACAGCAACTAATGGGAGTAGCAGAGTAAATGAGTTCACTGGAGGCAGATGTCAAGTGTTCCGCATCAATGCATTAGTTTAGTGTGTGTGTGTTATTTTGAGCAGGGTCTCATGCTGTACAAGAGGCGGGATGACAAATGTGCTTTACCATACTAGCATAGGGTGCATTAGTTTAAGCAAGAAAATGTAAAGTTAAACGGTCACTGTTTTATGGGCTTCCTTTTTGAGACAGGGTCTTACAACTTAACTCTGACTGGCCTGAGACTCGTTAGGTAAACCGGGCTGGCCTCATTGCCCAGAGAGGAGAGAACAATCGCTTCACCAGTGTTTGGATTAAAGGTGTACACCACTACACCCTAGTTCATAAACTCCTGAACTAGCACCAAAAAAAAAAAAAAAAAAAAAAAAAAGTTAATGCATTTTATTGTTAATGGGCAGATAATCTAAAAAAAATTTTTTAAAGGCCAAAAAAAAAAAAAAAACTTGTGTTTCCCAAGTATTTAGACTATGCCCTGTGGGTGGACTATAAACACTGCACTTTGAGCGAGTACACGGAAAAGGTACTAAAAGTTACAGAGGCGAAGTTCAATTTCCTCATCTAAACAACAAAAAGTCACATTTACACTTTCTAGACCGCTGCTTCTGTGATGTTTATAAGATCCCTTAATGGGAGCAGGCAGGGGAGAGGCGTCCATGACCCTCTTTATAGCTGGTATCTTGGAGCAATTGGGAAGATAGCATGGAACACTAGAAAATTGCAAGTTAAGACAGGTGCACGGATCCCCACACCCCTAGCTTGTAGAGAAAGAATGAGCAACATTCACAAAGACTGAACAAATAAATAAACCAACTGCAGAAATAAAAGGCTTTTAAAAGGCAGCTTACGAAACTTGAGGTGTTCTCTGACAGCAGGGTTAGAATCATTGCAGCGTATGCATGCACAATTACAGAAAACGCCCTCAAGGTATTTACCATGTTATTAATGTAGTTGGAAGTGTGTAGCTGTAGTACAGGTTTTTAAACCATTTTGTTTACCTGCTTTCTAAAACAAACACAAACCAGTTGATATACTGAATTGCCAAGTCAATTTACCTACTGGCGGATTACAAGCACAAGCGTTGAAAAGGTCCAATTGCAACAGTGCAAACTCCCAGGAACCCACCTGGACTTCAAGGACACAAGCAGAAAATTCAGAAATCGGTAAAAAATAAAAATAAAAATAAAAAAGGAGAGGTAACAACCTCTAGCTGACAGCCATGACCACCTCTTTTCGCCCTGACTCCAGGAGGGGACTGGTAGCTGTAATCTCGTTTGGTAAAACCCGAGTCAAAAAATGTCCCGTGTACCTCTTAGATCTCCAGGAGCAAGTGGGAGCAAAGGGCTGGGGGAGGGGGGAGGCAGAAGCTCGCCCAGCATGCATGGGGGTAGGGAAGTCCGCCGCCTGCAAGCTGGGGCTGCAGCGATCCCCTACTTTCCTCCCTGGCGGGCGCCCGCGAACAAACCCGAGCTTAAAGCAGGCCATTCCGCCCGAGGCTCCTAGGGCCGTCTTCCCAACCCGCAGGTACCGGCTCCCATCTTACAGGGTTTTTTGGCATCCTTGATCTTCATGGCGTCGGTCTAAGGCGCGAGGGGCAGCAGCCTCGGGTGCAGAGCTCAGCGGAGAACAGCGAATACTCCGGAGCTGGCTGGGCCGCGCGGCGGAGGCCCGGCCGGTTCCTCCCCTCAGGCCGGGCGGGGCGGGCCTAGGGCGGGGCGGCGGCGCCTGAGGCGACGGGCGGCCCACGGGGCGGCCCCGCAACCCCGCAAGGGGCGGCCGGGACCGAGCGAGCTGGGGAAGGCCGCGGGCCTCGCCGCTCCGTGGCCCCCCGCAGCCGCTCCAAACAAAAGGCCCCGGTCCCCCGAGCCGCCACCGCCGCCGCCGCCGCCGCACTGAGAAGTAGCCCGCCCAGGCCCAGCGCCCACGTGACTCAAGCCCCCTCGCCTCCCGCTCCGCGAGGCTGCCAGGAGTTGTAGTTCTCCGCGGCGTGAGGCGCGACTCTCCTACAGCAGATGCGCAGACGGACTACAAAGCCCAGGATGCCTCGCAACCCCTTTTTCTAGGCCCCCGCCGCTTCCGGAGATCTCCTCAGAGTGGTCCCAGCGGGAAGGAGGCGGGGCTTCAGTCACGCCAGCAAGGAGGCCGCCAATGGTGGCAGCCGTGGGCGGTCCGGGCAATTCCCGGGCTCTGATCTCGCCGCCACTGAAAGAGGGCCTGTGAACTCTGTAGGTGCAGTCATGGCTGTCACTCAGTCTCAGATTTTTTCCCCCTTGATGGTTACTGTGCCAAAATTCAAGGGTTCAAACCACTCAATACGTTTGATGACCTAAAGTCATTCACGAAGGAACCCACTGAAGGAACACTTTGAATACTGGGTTTGGAATGACGTCATTAATGATGGTAACATTTACTTAATGTGTATTTATTTACTGTTATCTAGCAGCCTCGGAGCCACGTGCAATTCTTACATACTGTGAAGATACAGCATGAACGGGGCAGTCAAAACACTTGAAAGTTGCAGGGCGGTGGTGGCCCTTGCCTTTAATCCCAGCTCTCAGGGAGGCGGAGGCAGGTAGAGAGCTGAGTTTGAGGCTGGCCAGGACTACACAGAGAAACCCTGTCCCGAAAAGAATGAAACTAATAAAGGAAAAACAAACCTTGAAAGCACATGCTTTTTGCCATGTGTTCCATGTTCCTCACAGGATGTCTCTAACCTGCTCCTCATTAGAGGAGAGTGACTTTCAGAGAAGAGGATTAGATGCACCAGTTCTTAGAACAAACCCAGGACACGTTTTCCCTCTGCCTCTTATGGCTTGAGAGTCTCCATCAGAGAGGAAAGAGATGGTATCGAAGAGGACCTGGGCTGTCCTCCACCTTTATCTCTTAGATGGTGAAGAATTCAGTGACTGACAAAATAGGGTTTGGTTTGAGGGTTGGTATTGAAATGGCTGGAGTTGTACTTCAGAGTGCTTTCGGGAGTTGGCCCTGGAAGATAGCGTTCCAAGAAGCTTTTTAAACAGTGAGCTTTACTGCCCTGTCTCTGCAGATTGCTATGGTTTGGGTATAGTTGCTCTAAGCCACAACTCACAGTGAGCTTTCATTTCTCAATGCAGTAGTGTGAGAAGGTGAGGTCTTTGGGAAGTGATTGAGTAATGGTGATACTAACACAGAGGAATGAATTAATGCTTTTCTCTAGAAACTGCATTGCATCTCATGGGACTGGGTTAGATCTCATGGGAGTGACTTGGGCCTGGCAGGTCTGGTTTAATGACTGAGTACTAGTGGATATAAAAGAAAGTTAGCCTTGGTGTTCTGGCTTCTTTCACAGTCACTTACTTGTCATTCTCCCATGAATTTCAGCTATCATGAAGCTTTGCCACAACATCCCTGCCTCCAAAGCTATATGCAAACCCTTGCCCCCAATACACACAAAACATACCAAATCTCAAGGGTTTTGATATAAACAACACAAGGAAAACTGAAACAGTTGATAAAGCAAGGGTAGCAGAAAAAGAGAAGGGAGCACACACCTTTAACTGCAGCACTTGGGAGGCAGAGACAGGCAGATCTCTGTGAGTAGGAAACCAGCCTGGTCTACAAGAGCTAGTTCTAGGACAGGCTGCAAAGATACACTGAGAAAAAAAAAGATTATTATTTATTATGTATACAGTGTTCTGCCTGGGTGTACCTGTGCACATCAGAAGAGGAGGGTAACAGATCTCATTACAGATGGCTGTGAGCCACCTTGTGGGTGCTGGGAATTGAACTCAGAACCTCTGGAAGAATAGCTAGTGCTCTTAACTTCTGAGCCACCTCTTCAGCCCCTGATAACTTTTCTTTAAATAAAGGATTCTTGTTTTCTGCCTTTGTTTGAAACAAATTTGTGTATTGACTGTTAGTATTCAGGTATCTGTATTGGCTTGCCTTTAGGGTTCTGACAGGACATACCCTCCAACTTAGCCACTAAGAGAACCATTTGTACATATTCACTATGTTCCCTTTTAAAAAGGGGGGTGGTGAGAACTATAAAGTTCAGAATTCAAAGAGTTGTAAAGGTCTGCTTAGATTTTGTAATAACTCAGGAGATAAAATTAAGCCACCACCATTCCTTAACCTAGTGTGAAGGGCAGCCACATTCCAAATCAATTAGATTTTACTCCTTCATGGAGGGCATATTTCCTGATGTTTGCTCATCCTTCCCAGAATAAAGTCATACCCTGACCAGAGAAACTCCAGCCGTAGAGGACCAGGCATGGTGGGTCATGCCTTTAATCCCAGCAGTCTAAAGGCAGAGACTGGTAGATTTGTGAGAGTCTAGCCCTTTAGGCTACACTGTGAAACCCTGTTTCAAACAAAAACTAAAAAGATAAAGAAACAACAAAACATCCTCAAAATCCTGAGATCTACTTAACGTTTCTTAGCAACTCTTTAAGGATAATAGCTTCAGGAGGTGGGAGGAGGGATGGACAGGAGGAGCATGTCAGATGCTGGCTTTCAGCCTAATCTAGGTTCAAGGACAGATCTTGTCTCAAGGAAAAGAAAGAAGAGAGCCCATGACATCTGTGGCCACCCACCACACAAGCACACCTACACACACGCAAAGAAGCCCTAACTCAAATTCAAATCTTATTCCCACCAAAGGAAACTCCAAAAGACAGTCCAAATACCCAGAAATGAGCTTAACCAGAATTCCTCAGGAACTTGTGAGGCCAGTTCTGTTTACCAAAAGAAGTCATTTCTCTTACCTAGGGCAAAGGGACATATGGCTTTCAGAATATATATATATATATATATATATATATACACACACTCATATCTGTGGCACATATCAGCATGTCAAGGTCTATGCTAGCCTCCAGGATCCCTCAGTCTCTACTTACAAGTATTTGTTATAGTTTCAGTGCCCCCCCAAGGCCTGTCCTGACCCTTCCATCCCTCCAGCTAATCACCCTTCTTATAGCACAGCTATTTTCACCATTCCCTGTGCTGTGGCTATTCTTACTTATTCTTCCTCTATTTTCTATCTCCTGCTATTTTCTCCTCTCCTATGGATAGTCCTGGCCTTCTTCAGTCTGCTAGGCATATTCAATCTACTTCTTTCTCTTTCAATGCTGGACTCTTCCATATGCTTCTGGCTGTCTTTTCTCTCCTGGCTAAAACCTTCCCCTACCATGGGATAGTCATGTCCTTAGTTTCTAGAGTAATAAACATGGGTACATTACTTTTTCTCTGTTTCTCTATGCAAAGAATCGTGCTCATGTGTCCTGGGGTTGAGATGGGAATAAAGGAGAAAATCCAAACAAATTGCTGGACACACTGCCTGTCCTATCAGTAAGCAGTATTTATACTGCTGTTTCTAGTGCCACGATTTTTGTAATGATAAAGAGAAAAGCTTAAGTATTTAGACCAATGGTTCTCAACCTTTGGGTCTCAACCCTTTTGGGTCAAATATCCTGCATATCAGATATTTACAAATTCCAGATATTTACAGTATGATTCATGATAGTAACAAAATTACAGTTATGAAGTAGCAATGAAAACAATTTTATGGTTGGGGATCAACACAACATGAGGAATTTGTATTAAGGGGTGGAGGCATTTAGAAAGTTGTGAACCACTGATTTAGATGGGCTGTCCAAAGCATCTATTTGAGGGAACCACACTCCAAAAGGTGCCCTTTAATAATTTTTACCTGAGATTCTACATTTGCTCTTTAGACCATTTTTATTTATATTTTTACAGAAGCATTTTCCCCCTAATAGACTGAAGACCTACCTTTCTGGAGGGAATGGCTTTCCTACTACCTGATTGACCCTGGGGGATTAGGACAGTTTGTGATTTCTCATGTTGTAGTTATCACCCTCAGCGTGAAAGAATAACCACCCGTCAAAGGAATTATCAGTAAATTTTTATTATTTAAACTGGGGAAAAATTTCTTTCCTAAGCCTCTAGGTATGTAAAACTGGCAACTCAGAACCTTGAATGGTGGTCAGAAACTTTTTTTTTTTTTTTTTTTACTACATTCTTTTTTTGTTCTCTTGGTAGCCCAGCCCCAACACAAGGCTGGATGGACTATGCCATTTTATTGAGTGAGACCCAAGACCTCTGATCTGGCATTCTTCAAAGAGGATTCTCCTAAGAGGATTCATCAGTTGGTTCTCTGAGTCACAGACTCTCTACCAATACATATCTTTGGGCTGTGCCTGCCAGCCCTCTTTGATAGTATCAGCTTGGAAGTCAAAGGGGAAAATGAGGATACACATGCCTTGGGAGAGGATGGCCATGTTTCACGAGGAAAGAGAAAAGCTAGGAACAAAAAGTCAATGGAACCTGGGTAACTTTGGGACAGAAATACTGCCAGCTCCTGTGGCCAGACATAGTCAACCTTAACTTCATAGTTAAAGGTTTGAACCAAGTACCATGTATAATAACAATCCTTTGTTCAAATATGGGACTGCCATATGTACTTGGCTTATATGACACAGAAGTGCTGATTGAAATATTGAGAATTCTCATCTTAGATCAGTCATAGAATTGCTGCAAAACCCCTGGAAAATCCTTTCTCTTCTGTGGGCTTCAATTATCCATGTATAACACGAGGAGTTGGTTAAGATTTCTTCCTTTTTTTGAGACAGGGTTTCAAAAGGTTTCTGTGTACCACTGGCTGTCCTGAACTCACTATGTAGACCGGGATGGCCTTGAAGTAAGAGATCTGCCTGCCTCTGTCTCCTCAGTGCAGGGGATTAATGGTGTGCACCATCACACCCTGGCTGCTTTTTTTTTTTTTTGGCCTTTTTAGAAGCAGTATGTCTTTAGTCAGTCTTGTCTTTAAGATTTCCCTAGGGCTCCTAGGAATGTAGGAAGCTACACCCATAAAGTCTTCCAACATGACTGCCTAAC